AAACCAGTCAGAAACCAGTCAGAAACCCGTCAGAAACCGGCCAAACGCAATCTCTCTCTCTCTCTCTCTCCCTTGCCTATTCCCTCACCCTCCCATCAGAACTCCTACGCCTACTCCTATTGCAATTTCCACTACCACTACTGCTAGTGCTACTGCTACTGCTAGTCCTGCTGGTACTACTGTGAATTTTCCGGACCGTTTCCGGACCGCGCAAGCTTATTTTGCTTCCAAATTTGAAATCGAATGCGTTCACGCATGGATCCTTACTCCCACTACTAGATTTGCTACTACTCTTAGTACTACCACCACACCCGCTGCTACTGCACCACCACTACCACTAGTACATCTAGGAATTTCTGCTCTTGCTTTTAAATCCAATTGACACGAGTTCCGCTGAAGGGTCAGAAACGAGTCAGAAACCAGTCAGAAACCAGTCAGAAACCAGTCAGAAACCCGTCAGAAACCGGTCAAACGCAACCATCTGTTTCCCCCTCCCTCTCTCTCTCTCTTTCTCTCTTTCCCTCCCTCTCCCTTTCTTCCCTTGCCCTGCTACTAGAACTCCTTCTCCTATTCCTACTCCTACTCCTACTCTTACCCCTCCTACTACTAGTAGTACTACTACTACTACTATTACTACTACTACTACTACTACTACTACTACGACTAGTACTACTAGTACTACTAGTACTACTAGTACTACTAGTACTACTGCTGCTGGTACTACTGTGAGTTTTCCGGACCGTTTCCGGACCGCGCGAGCTTATTTTGTTCCCAAATTTGAAATCGAATGCGTTCACGCATGGATCCTCATTATATAATACATAACTTATATTTTATGTATATGATCTGATCAACGAAGAGCAAACCCTTCCGCGATTGCTCACTGTGGTACCGCGGTTGCTACGCGATTGGCTGAGCGATTGAGGGCTGTCCGGGAAAAGGTATTTTGGACAACCCCCGCATGTCATTGATTCTCTTCCCCGATCATCGCCGATCATCCCACTCTAAATTAGCTGGCTAGTAGACAAAAACCATGGACCATAGTCAACAGTCACAAGAATACATCGTACTCATAACTCGGTGAAACTTTCAATCATCAACAATTCATAAAAAGTTTCCATAAAGTTTCATATATATATATTCTGATTAAAAACATCTATATCTGACATTATCTGACCCCATCTTCGCCTCAGGCAAGGCTTCTGCCTTCGCCGGCAGCGACGGCCGCATCCTCCGCGCCGCGGCGAACCTGGGCTCGGTGCAGACGGTGGACGCGCGCAAGGCGCGGCAGGGCGGCTTCAGCGAAGTGGCGTGGCAGCGGAGCCATGATGCGGCCTATGTGCCGCAAGGCCTTTTTTTGGGATGTTGGCTGAAATGGGGGGATGTCATGGGAGATGTCATGGGAAATGGATATGGATATATTATGGATATATTATGGATTTGTCATGGTCTATAAAGTGATATCCATTGTGGGAGGACGCGGGGAGTTTACAAAACACATGCAACGTGGAATTTAAAGGATTAAGGAGGCGAAGAAGGTTTAGTCTTCAAAAAATAGTGACGGGGTAGATTTTGTTTGGAGGACTTTTCATCATTCGAAATGGGAGTTTATAGGATGTGGATGGATGTGGGGATATAATTGGACAGATATTATTGATATCAATGACATAACCAATTGTATCCTGGAAGCCATTCTAAAAGTATAAAATGGAATGCATAGGGTGAAGCAGACTTACTTCAACAAAATGATGATAGGCACGATAGGACAGATTTTGGGTTCTGATTTCTTAAAGTTTCAGATAATTAACAGAGCTTTTCAAAATATTTGGAATATTTCTCCATCCTGCAAATGCTGTGCAAGGGAACAATTGACTTTCATGTTTAAAGATGGATTGAAACCGCCAACCAGTAAGGGAAGAAATGTCGACATTGTTGGCCATCAAACTTGGTCTCACCAATTGTTCGGTAGCTTCAATGATGATTGAGATGTGATTTCATGTATTTCCGATCATGTTCTACCAGGTGCCCCCAGTTGTAAGTTGGTTTATAAAACTCGTTATCCCCATTGACTATAGTTATATCACCCATAAACAATCTATATATAGTTAACCTAATTCTAACATAATTATTCCAAGTTATAACCAAACTTAGCTGTCTAGGGGGGGCTCACGTTGAAAATGTCACACCCCGGGGAACATGTGAATTTTCCCACTTGACTTATGGCCCCCAGGCGAGGGAGTGGCTAGGCCTGAGCATTGCGTGAAGGACCCCACGCGAGTGGTGCCTTTGGGGGTGAAGAAATGAAGGGCCGGCGGAGCAAAACTCAGCGTCCTTATGAAAGTTGGTTGGGTGCATGATGTGCATGATGTGCATGATGTGCGTGATCTTGTATGACCGTGTATGATCTTGTACAATCTTATATGGATAATCGATCTTTATGTCTGAAAATCGGCCCAATTCCGAACAAATTACTGTATTTCGTTCATGTTTTGATTGCAGATATCATCTATTGTCTTGATGTTTGGAATGATTGTTGGGATGCCAGGGTTTTGAACCCAGCCGTGACTGAAGTTCTGAAGAGTCAGCTGGTGACATCACCTGCAACATCGCGGAAAACTGGACCCCGATGTTGCATGACGTGTCATCACGATGCCTTGAAGCATTTTAAACGTCTCTTCCTGGCGGGCCAATCCACGGATTTGGGCTGAGCCGAACCCCCACAGATGGGACCTGCTGTTGCCAACAGAATGCCAACCAGCAGGTGTTTTTAGGCTCGACATGGCACACAGATGCACAGAGTTTCAAAAAGTGGCTTCTGTTGCTTGTATTTTTGGGGCATTTCATGGGATTTGGACTTTCTTTTCACAGGGTGGACAGTGCAATGTTGGCAATGTAGTGTGGCGTTTTGACATGGTGTGTAATTCTTGGTTGAGATTATGGTTGGGTTAAACATGAGGTCCTGTCAGCCATCTGAGGAAAGGCACATGGCTGCCAGCGTGCAAATGGTTTATCTTGGTGGTTGTTTCTTGCTGCTTTCCAGGTTGCTTCTGTATGCTTCTGTCATATGTGCAGTGTAAATACTAGGTTTGGAATGGTTTGGATATATTTTTGTAATTCAGCGGGCCGCTTCTTGCAGTCTGCCACCTAGAAAGCTTGACATGACTGCTCTTTCCAAAAGCAATCTTACCAGATACACAGATTATGAAGGTGACCCCGAGGTAGTGATGATGCGCTGACCATAGTGGTGGCAATGGGAGAAAGTGACTTCACGGCCTCGGAAATCTCTCGACCGAAAAGCGTTGAAACTGGAGAAATGGATTTAACATGCACTGTGTATCCCTAGATGATATACTGTAATTGTCGTTTTCGATGGGGATGCTCCATTGACTACCCCAAACATCTCCACAGCCGCCTTCCATTTTGTCTACGCCGAGGTCCAACCTCTTATGGTCGCTGGGCAAAGTTCTGGTGAAGGAGGAGATCTTCATGGAACAGATGGCAGCCATGGCAATTCCTCAAATCGCCGAAGCACCCAGCACCCTCAGCCGGGTCCAAGGTGAGGGGGAACCCTGAGCCAGGCACGGGTCAAAATGTGGAGGAAGATCTTGAAGGCATGGATTATGAGCACCATCCCATCCTGTTTTTCCAGAGCCCATTTTCGGATGGCGTGCTGGTCCCAGGGTCCGGGGTCCCGGCCTCAGGCGGAATTCACACCACAAGCTCTAGCCAACAGGTGCCGCTCTGGGTGGTTCCAGCTTTCTTCGAAGGTCTCACCATGACCACATCATCTATCCCAGCAAAGCTGACATCAGATGAAACAGACAGCGGATGATAGCGGGGGCTTGTGTGGGGGTCGTTTTGCTAAATCATCCGTTTAGGAAGTCTCCTGAATTACTGGTACTCAACGACCCTGCTTAGTAAGTCTCCTGAATTCCCGAGACAGTCTCGTAAGTGGGATGACTACCCAGCCCAGTTGTCCAAGTTTCAAGGCGCATTTTCTGCAGGAAAGCAATGGCTTAAGCCCCTAGATTTTTCCTAAAAGCAATGGCTTAAGCAGCTTTTGTCTCGAAAACAAATAAAGCCCATTGAACCATCATTCTGATTGAATAAATTCAAATGCCTGGCTTACATCCAAATTTTACCGTGGAATTTTCCCCAACCGGTTAGTGGTTTCAGACATGTTTCATGTTCAACCATACTTGGGAATCTTATGGAATCTTGGAATGATGATCCCCAACAAGGCGATAACGAAAAAAATCCCAGAATTGGATGATGGGACAAATAGAATCAGGATTCCCCTGTAAGGACTGGGTTGAACAATGTGGAGCATATTTCTCATGCCAGCACATGCGCTTGGAGCAGGCCCCATCAATCATATATCGTTAATATTCCTCAATGATCTCATTAGTCACTAATCCACTGCATGGTCAAAACATGTCAAAACCACTATTTGGACGGTTTATTGTTGGGTTTACGTTCTTTTCCTCATTATGTCAGATTATGTCGATATTACCAGATTCACCAAAGGCCCAATGTTAACGTTTTTTTTCAGGGCCTGGTCCTCCACCACTCTGAGCGTTTCCAGCCCAGCAGTGCCTTGGGCTGGCGAGGGGTTGGTTCATGTGGCTCGGGGAGAGAAATGAGATATCTTGTAAGAACAGATCAATATGAATAGATTTAGCATGATTTGGCTGTAGAATGCTATAGATATGCTGATTAATTACTGGCAGTGACATACTGATATATGTATATATATATAATTCTATACATTTGTACTAGATATAGAATCTAGATATAAGGAGATAGATATAGGTCATGGCTACAATATCGTGAAATTGGAAATGATGGGAGTTGAAATTTGGATTATTGACAAATCGTCGCCCCGAAATCAGATGATTTGGCCCACTTGGCCATCCCCGTCGTGCAGGTCATGACAGCGACCGCCGCCGCTGCACTCCCGAAGCTGTCAGGATTGGAGCCGCTTCCGCTCTGGGATTTCG